CCTGAATGCTGATATTAGGAACATGTTATGCAACACCTAGCCTCAAGTTTTACTTTCTAATACCATTCTCACTAAAACAGAGCCCCTTAGGAAAATAACTGATTCCAAAGGGAGAGCTCTTTAGGATTCTTGACCATAAAATTGTATCAGGGTGCACAGGAATCATATCCCTTGAAATTACAGAAAAACGACAATCCTAAAATTAGACAGCACTCTCTTTTGCATACTGAAGGATGTATGGAGACAGCAAAGAAAGTCTGTTAAAATCAAGAACACAGAAACCAAATATATTGTGTGATTCAACTTCCATGTAAACTGCAAAATAGATCAATCTATGGAGGCTGGGATTTTAACTTGAAAAAGGAAGAACCACTGTTAAAGGGTGTGGTGCTTGTGTTAGGAGTCATGAAGAAGTTCTGGAACTAGATACTGAATACTACCTAACAATTTAAATACACTTATCTTCACTTTTATTGAAGAAGAAGAATATTGGCTACAAGGATTTCTATACTCAATGAAATTGTATTTCAAGACCAATGTTGAAATGAGGACTTGTGGGTCCTTTTGTTGGTGGTGGTTTTTACTTTTGCAAATAGCGAGCCCTTTCACCACCAACTGGTGATCACAAGAAATGGTAAAGCCTCCAGGCAAAGGAAAAAGTAATAAAAGGTAGAACTATAGATCTACAGAAAGAATGAAAAGCACCAGAAATTATACCTGCCCTGATAAATATAAAGGAAGCTCTCCTTGCTGGAGAAATGTCATCACAGATAATTGACAGGCTACAGTAAAAAGAAGTAAAAATGGACCCAAGATAACAGCATATGCAGAAGTAAAATTGTAACCCTATACTAGACAGAGGCTGAGAAAAAGAGATCTGAACGGGAAGCACCAGTTTTATGTTTCTCACTATCCTGAGCAGAACCTGCTTGTTGTCTTCTAAGACATGGGGCTCTGTTATATTGATCAGATGATCACACAGACACAAAAGGCACTAAGTGAAAAGACATTCATTAGGTAAAGGGTTTATAAGACAGACATTAGAGTTGCTGCCTAAAGCAGACTCACTAGATAAGCAGAGCAATTTTCTGAGTGTTGATGTGTTTGAGCTTCATCTTCGACATCATTGATGCCATGACTAGAGTCTTAAAAACAACCTGCATTGCAGATGTGAGATTGAAAATGTGTGTGTGTGTGTGTGTACATACACTCGTGCGTGCGCACACACATGCACCTGTATACAAAGTTAAGAATATAAAGGTAAATACCAATACACATACCTCAGGCAGGGGGTGAGAAGAAAACATGGGGAGAAGAGAGAGACAGATAATTTTAGTGATGTTTTACGAAATCATGGAAGAGTGCATAAACATTCCAGATTCTGAATTAAAGGGGGGAAAGAATTCATTCAAAAGGAGGCACTTTCCTTTCCCTGCTTCTTGGTCCACTAAGGCAAATTCCTGTCACCACAGCTGGAAACCTCACCCGCTGCCCAGCCTTCCCTGCCAGGATGGCCTCCACCCCCTAAATCTTAAGCCACCACAAACTGTCTCTCTCTTACATTGCTTTCTGTTTGGTATCTGGTCAAAGAAACAGAAAAATAACAATACACCAAGAAGTTCCATTTTTTAAATTTATTCTCTCAGATATTACATCCTGACTGCAGTTTCCCCTACCTCCTCTCCTTCTAGTCCCTTCCTCCAACCCCCACTCCCCAACTACTCCTCCTGTTTCTTTTCAGAAAAGGGCGGGCTTCCCAGAGACATTAACTAAACATGGCATATCAAGGTGCAGTAAAACTAGCACATCCTCTCCTATTAAGGCTGGACAAGGTAACCCAGTATGAGGAGTGGGGTTCTCAAAGGAGGCAAAAGCTTCAGAGACAGTTGGGCTCCCACTGTCAGGAGTCCCACAAGAAGACCAAACTCTACAATCATCACATATACAGAGGACCTATGTCAGACCCCTACAGGCTCCTTGGTTGGTGGTTCAGTCTCTGTAAGCTCCCAGAAGCCCAGGCTGATTGATTCTGTGGGTTTTCTTGTGCTGTCCTTGACACCTCCGGCTCCTCCAATCCTTCCTCCCCATCCTCCCCATCTTCAATAGATTCTCCCCAAGCTCCGTCTTATGTTTGGCTGTGGGTCTCTGCATCTGTTTCCATCAGTTGCTGGATGGAGCCTCTCTGATGATTATGCTAGGCTCCTGTCCACAAGTATAGCAGAATATCATAAGGAATCATTTCATTGACCTTTTTTTTTTTTTTTTTTTTTTTTTTTTTTTTTTTTTTGCTGGGCGTGATTGGTTCTATCCTAGGTTTCTGCGCTATTGGGCTATCTAGCCACTGGTTCCTGGTCCTCCACGCAGTGTCAGGCATAGGTTCCCAGTCGTGGCAAGGGTCTCAAACTGGACGAGCCACTGAATGGCCACTCGCACAATTTCTGTGCCACCTTTGCCCCAGCACATCTTGCAAACAGGGCAAACTGTAGGTTGAAGGTTTTGCTGTTGGGTTTGTGTTCCAGTCCCATCACTGAAAGCCTTGCCAGGTTATAAGAAAGGACAAGTTCAACTTCCGTACAGCCCCCCCACCCCCATTCCAAGGAGTCACACTCATAGATTCCTGGGAGTTTCCATTGCACTAGGTTTCTATTTTGCCCCTGAAATGCCCTCATTTCCAGTCATCTTTCCCAGTCCTCTCTCCCTCCATCCTTCCTCGACCTCCCCAATCAGCATCTCTGCCTCTCTCACATACACAAACACACACTCACACACATATTAGAGTTCCCAATTTGACTTGAAAAGTACTAATTTTTTTTTGTTTTTTTCTAGACAGGGTTTATCTGTGTAGCCCTGGCTGTCCTGGAACTCATTCTGTTGATCAGGCTGGCCTTAATCTCAGAGATTCACCTGTGCCTCTTCCTCACGAGTGCTAGGACTTAAGATGTGCACCACCACCTCCCAGCCTAAAACTTTATTCTTAAGCCTGAAAAAGAATGTCAACCAGCATGTGGGTAGTATTATTTAAAAAAAAAAAGCTTGACTTGACGTAACGAAGCACCTGTAACCCTGCTCAGGATGGAGAAGCAGAATGATGTTACAGACAAGCTAGCGCTACGCTAGGAAACTCTGACTTAAAAAGCCATACCCACACCCAATCAAATAAGCATATGCAATTACAAGCAAGCAAACAATTACAAGAAACATTTGGGGGAAAGACAAGAAGATAAAAACCCAAGTCATATTGAATATGACCTACAAGTTGTTATACAGTATGTTTTCCCAAGCCCTTTACTGTTTTAACACAACCTCATTGCCATCTGGGGACATTTGGGAATGGAGACTAAGGGTCCAGTGATGTAACTCGTAGAGGAGACTGCTTTCCTAGTGAGCACTAGGCCCCGCCTTCAATCCCTAGCAATGTGTAAGACAGCAAGGTGGCTCACATCTGCAATGCCAATGCTTGAGAGTTGGAAGCACGGAGATCAGAAACTCAGTCGTCCTCAGCTACATCTGAATTTTGAGGACAGCCTGGCTACATAAGGCCTTATCTATAAAAAGAAAATAAATAGAATGCCAGCTAGGAAGCAAGATGACAATGTGGACCCAGGACGAACTCCTATCCAGCCTTGCCACTCACCAGCCATGTGATCACATGATCTTGAGGGTAACTCCCAAGCACTCCAAAGATGGCTCTCTATGGAGCTAACTTCAACACTAATATCATGTGGGACCATTGTAATATATAGGCTAAGAAACACCTGGCAATGTCTGCATATAATTGTGTATATAATGAATGTCATCTTTATTATTTTGACACAAATATTCAAATTGAGCTTGAATATTAATTTGATCCCACCCATACTCATTCAGAGGGAAAATATGCTCAACAGGAGAATCAATAAATACCAGCCCAAAATGCAGCTTTGAAAATAAGTCATGATACTTTCTCTCTAAAAACTAAACTATTTTGGATGTGAGTCATTCTTCCCAGGCTGAAGAAACTTGAAGAGCCTAGAATTCAAAAAAAAAAAAAAAATGGTCCTCCGCTCCCAGCTGCTCATCCTCTGGATATATTTTCTAAACTAATTTTATTGCCACCTTGCCACCAGATCCTAGATCTTGGTTAGATTTGGCCAAACAACAATCCCTTGGCTTTGGCTCTCCCAGGCAAAAAGAAAGAATGGCCGCCTGGTGGTCTCTAGGCAGCAATCAGAAGTATTCTTGCCCTGTTTACCAGGAGACCTCTATGTAAATCTGGTATAGTGGTGCACATCTGTAATCTCAGCACTTTGGAAGTGAAGGAAGAAAGATCAGTTCAAGGCCAGCCTGGTCTAGAGATCCTGTCTCAAAATCCAAGACAAATAAACAAAAATTACTTAATACAGACAATGGAGCAAGGCAGAACCTTCAGGATACCTTCCCACACAAGTGTCAGCCAGGGATTTCTCTCTGCTTCAGCTGGAACCCCCAGAGAACCATTTAATTTGATCCTGTGAATTTTCTCTCTCTCAAAGACTCATTAAGAGTCAGGTCTCTGGCATTGACTCAGGGCATTTGCACTTGAGCTATTTACAAATGAAACCTCACTGCCCAATTTATTTCTTCTTGCTTATGTCTTCCCAGTCATCTCCCCAGACTCTTTCCATCTCTAGGAAGGGAATATGATTATTTATCCCCATACTCCTCCCAATAACCATGTATGCTCAAAAATATCTAACTTGAGACTATAAGATGGCTCAAGTATTAAGAGCATTTGCTGTTTTTTCAAAGAACTAGGTTCAGTTATCAGCACCCACAAACTCCAGATCCAGGAAAGTTGAAGCTCTCTTCTTACCTCTGTGGGTACCAGGGACATGTGTAATAAACATGCATGCATTCAGGCAAAATATTCATACACATAAAAATAAAATAAATACAACTTTAAAAATATATCCAAGTGATGTCTGGCAAATAAATGAATCGATAAGTAGAGATCTTAAAATTTTATTACCATTTTTCCTGTTTGCTTAAATAAACCAATCTGAGTACACATTACAGAGCTGACTAAAAGTATTAAAGAAACTCAAAGATTAACCATTGAATAGTTTCCCTATACTTTCTGAAAATCTGGTACGACAGGAACAGATGTAAGTAATCAAAAACTTGCATTGCAAAGGAAATGTAACACACTTTCAATTACAAAAATGAGCACTGAAAAAAACACCTAAAGAGAAAATAGATGAAACAATTATCATCATCTAGAACCAGAACACAAAGTTGCGCTATACTGTGTTCTCTGCATGCCCAGACTAACCTTGACATTCTCCCCCTTACTTAAAATGTTGACTGTCCCTTTTAAAATCAGTAATTGGGTTGCCCCATGTTGCTACCAAAATGGTACTAATCCTCCAGGGGGGCCTTTCTGGAGCCCTCATCTCTCAATGCCTCATTATATAAAGATGAAAAATACATTGGTTCCCTCCTTGTAAATTTCGTCAAAAATTCAAGAACTTTCATCGTGGTGGTTTCAGAGTAGGCTCTTGGACCCCACAGGAACACATAACGTGGAGGATAACTGTCGGGCACCTGCCTATATTTCAGATAATTTTGCTGCACTAAATCTCTAGTGAGGAACTCCCTGGGCTCCCCATAAATGAAGTGCTCCTTCCCATCATATATTCCTATCATATTCAGGAATTCCCATATGCTTTCTTCAGAGGCACAGTTCCCCTCTATGAATATTACACCCAGAATAACTATCAGGAAGGCATTTCTAGGCAACCTCTTGTTGTAGTCATCATATGTGAGGTTCAGTGTGTTGGTAAAGACATAAGAGTTGCTTGCAGGATCATCTTCCTTTATATCAATGCCAAAAATCATCTCTAAGCACTTAGCAGCTTCCTCAAAGATGGCAGGGAATTGTTTCTTGTGGTCTTCGGTGACAACCCCAAGCATTTCCACTTCCTGGACAGGCTCTTTCATTCTATATTTCAGGAGCAGGAGATTCACCAGTTCAGTGACCTTTCGCTTTTTGAGATTTTGCCATGCGGAAACATCATCTGTCAACTTGGACGGGTTTAGACTCTCTTCTTCCGGGCTGCCATATTCTTTATCTAAGTTGATATATGAAGTGAAGGAGTAAGAGCTCTGGTAACTCTGTGAAATACTCTGCATCCAGGTAACAGACTCTTCTGCCTCATCTGGACTGCTTCCAAACAGAGAACATGATGAGGAAGCAGAAGGTGGGGAAGCACAGAAGGAGGGCAAAATGAATCTTAAAGAAGCAGTTAATGTGGACAAGATGCTGTCACTGTAAGTAGCCGCCCCTGCCTCCTCTTCCTTTTCATCCTCTTCCTCCTCCTCCTCTTCCATTTCTTCCTCCTCCTCCTCTTCCATTTCTTCCTCCTCCACTTCCTCTTCTTCCTCCTCCTCCTCTTCCATTTCTTCCTCCTCCACTTCCTCCTCTTCCTCCTCTTTCTCTTCCATTTCTTCCTCCTCCTCCTCAGCTAATCTATATATTTCAAAAGCATCCTGGAAAACTTTCCAGAGGCTGAAGTGTGGATAGTATGGCATAGTGAATCTGGCTGGAGATGGTAGGCTGGAGTATAAAGCAGGACACTGGGTGAGTGGGGGGAGGGAAAAGTAGTGTGAGTGGCCCCAGCTAAAAAATCTCACCCCCTCATGATTCTAACAAAAGCATACTTACAAAACTTCTTTGTAGGTGATTGTCTCAGAGCCCTGCTAGCCTGCTGCTTTCCTTGTTGTGTGTCCTACTTGAACCTGAAGAGGGATATGAGAAAGGTCCTCAGCATATAGGCAACTGGGAGATCCTGGGACCCCACAGTGAGGTATGTTTCTAGGTACTTTGGGTAGTGACGTTGGTGCCCACTCAGGGTGTTCTTCTCACCTTGACTATTTGACTCCGTGGGACTTTTCTATGTTGTCATTTGAGGGGAGATGACTCTCATCACGACCCTTAGTTCAATTTCTGATTGACAGCTCTGGAAGATGAGCTGAGAGGACCTCCCACACTGAAGACTGCATGAAACCTGAACTACTCAATGCAGCTGGAAATCCCTAATTCCAGAAGGAGGGCCCCCTTTGAGTTTCCTTTATTCTAGAAAGTTTTAGATCCTACTCAGCTGCTGGACTGAGACAACCCCTAAGGATAACACCTCACATTCCCGAGACAAAGAGGAAGAAATAAGGGAACCCCATCCTAAGTATTATCTGTCAAGGGCCTCTCCCACATGCTAGTCAAGAGCTGACCAAACTCTGTTTCCATCTCCTAAGTGAGAGATGTACTCATTTCTCAATCTGAACCCTCAGAGCCTGGGGTTATACCTCTGCTGGCTGTAACATCTGCTTCTGCGTTAATCTTGGTACAGTTCACACACCACTGTACCTACTGCATGAGGCAAGGACCTGGAGAATGAAAGAACACACAAGAGACCTGGGTCATTCGAAAGGAGATCAGCTGAATGCAGTTTATTCAAACTTAGGAAAACCCTTAAATCCCTAGCTGCTGCACAATGAAATGCCCCCTAGGCAGCTGGGAAATTACCACGCCCAAGGTGGAGTCAATAACGCCCTATAGCTAATCACCAGGCCGGGCAGAAGGAGCACAGGAACAAACAGGATGTTCTAGCTGACTGACTAGAAACTGTCCTCAAAATGAAACCTGGGAGCAGGGGTAGACCCATGGGCCCTACAGTTGGCCACGGTTTGCTCCTCTGAGCAATGCTTTGAGATCACCAAGATAGAGAAGACGATGTACCACATCCCTCAGGGAATCTACAAGCAGACAACATGGGAAAGGTAGCAGCAGTCCTAGGGAGGTTTACCCTCAGTTCTCACTCAGAATCCTTAACTCCTGATGGTCCCGGACTCCTTGCTATGCTGACCTGACCTATCTTCTCACCACACTATTGCCTCTTCAGAACAAGTTCCTCAATCCCCTGAGAATTCAAGGCAACACAGAAAAGGTACTAGACTCCCCTACTCTGCTAAAGTCACAGACTTACACAAATGCTTTCCTTCACCTCCCTGGAACACTTTATAGAAAACTAAAATGGCATCAAATTCAATGACACCTGTCCCAGGTCTGTTGAGGGAGGAGAGTCACCTTTACTGTTTAGCATAACCTGCCTCAGTCCCCTTTGACCTGAAGTGTGTCTCTTTAACCAAGACCTCACCATCCTGAAACACTTCTTGGCTCTTTGGAGAGCTTGTGGCAGAAGTCAGAGTCCATTCCATTAGAACACCATAAGCTATACCTTCCTTGGGCTGGAAAAAAGTTGAGAGTTAGATTCCACAGGATTACTTTCCTGAATCCCATTCTATTCAGAATGGGAGAAAGGAAAAGTAAGGTAGAGAAAAATGAGACTTCTTCTGTCCTCACCAGGGACCTTTAACTTGATACCCAGCAGAGTCAGGGACCCATCACTACACTGACTAGCCCTCACAGAATGTCACCCCCTCAGATCAAAGGCTCTCGCACATCATCCAGAAAGAAAATGAAGAGACACATCCAACAACCCTTGCCTGCAGGATCCTAAGGTTTACAACAGAAGCCTGTTGAGTGTGGGGCCACCTCACTCTGAGCAATATTCATATTGTCACCATGGTTCTTTCTCTTCCTATGCTGACAGCAAGAGAAGGTTTCTTTTTTCCCCTGATGCAACTAAATTGGCCTTGATAAAATCTAGGAACGCTTTTGCAAAGGTTCCCCGGTGATCTTTGACAAATGTCATCTTTACTCCCTGAGAACCTAGTCAAATTTGTGAAGCATGGCCAAGTCTTGTACTTTTGTCTAGGGTCTCCCAGCGTTGACAGCTGACAGACCCCTTGGTTTTAATGAGAGGAGGAGCTGCCCCCTCTGTTCTCCTTCAGGCTATGTATGTTGCTCCCTGATATCAAAGCCTCACTTCCAGGAGACAAATTTCTTCAATTTCCTGTAGAAATGACAAAGCACATCTAGCCACTATTTTCCCATATCTTGAATGCACAATAGGGTTTTTGTAGGGCCTCTTATAGTTCTACAATAGTAAGAACTGTAAGCCATCCTCAAAGGATTTAGGATTTATATTTACTCCTGGTAAAGCCATATACTGCCTCTATTCTGTTCATGTGAGAATGTCTTCCTTAGTCCAAAGTTCCCATCTCTTTCATATACCATTTTCAAAAAAAGAAGAGGTAAGAACTCTGTTCTTGAGCCTGGACCGTCTCCGGACCAACATTACAAGTTGGTTTCTGCAAGGCTCTCACTACCTGTTATGTGTAGTCTCCTCATTCTTGTCTCTGAGCACTCTCAAGCTTGAAGCCTACCCAGCTTCCTGAAATGAGCCTAGCCTCCTCAGGAAAACCCACTGATTCCTGCCAAGATCAAAGTCTAAATACCAAACCCCAAAAGCTTAAGGCTAACAGCAAAGGTCACAAGGCTTTCCGTATTGATATTCTGAAGTCCTGTCACTCCTCCAGATTCTTCATTTTAATGCCCGGGGACACCAGCCCACTTCCCTTTGCTGAGTGAAGCTAAGGACCCTGGGGCAGGAAGTCAAAGAGGCTCCTCTAAATCCGATAACACTCTAACCCCTCCCCCACCCCACACTTCTCAGAACTAACAGCGGCCTGTGGTGAGTTCTATCCCTCCTCCTGACAATGCATGACTCAGCACTGAACCCTCCTCTAGCAGAGCCCCTTCAGGAAAGCCACCCTTCCCTCAACCGTCCTTGGTGAAACCCAGGAAATGATAGGATCCACAAGCCCTGTCCCTCCCTAAAGCATCCTAGGGACAAAACATTTAGAGATGGTACCAGTTATCAGTAGGGAGAGGAAGGCTCTCGGCCTTCCCTCAGTGCTTTCCCATCAAGGCCTGGACATCTTCCCTACTTATCTGAGTCAAGGCATCTCCAAACGCCTCACCTTCCTCGCACTCTTTGTAATGGATTTGCTGTGGGTCCCGGCAGCTTGCTGCGGGATCGAGACCACGCGACAGGTCCACAAACCAAGGTGCCTGGTCCCCGGTTAGCAGTGTAGGCAGGTGGGAGGCACAGATGCTGCAAGTTTCCGGGACTGCTAGGGATCCGAAAGCAGCCAGTCCCAGATACCACGCGGCAGGGAAGGTGACTGGTCCCCAGTAGCGACAAACGGATAAGCAGTGGTTGAGAGGGATGGATAGGCACATCATGTAGAGTAAAGTTGGACTTTTATTAGGTGGGTTATGGAGGGGAATGGAAAGGGGGAGAAGGGGGAGGGAGAGACCGAGAGAGAGACAGAGAGGAGAGAGAGACAGAGAAGTGGGGGAAGCGGAGAAGTAGGGAGAGAGGCAGAAGCTGCCACTTCGAGAGAGGGACCGGAAGAGAGAGAGAGCTCAGGCCGAAAGCTGAAGAGCAGCCTGCCTCAGCGGATGGGGGAGGGAGTGGGCGTGGCTTGTCTCTTAAAGAGACAGAACAATCATTACACTGTTAACAAGGAATTTGGAAATGATTAATTATAAGCCATGAACCTGCCTGGAGACCCTAGTGATAGGCAGAGCTTCTGCATCTCCCACGTCCAGGAAGAAGATGAAAGCCTCAGAATGATACCACCTTACAGAACCTGGAACATCATATGGACATCTCAGCAATATTTCTGGGCAGATGTTTTTATATAAAACCAGGATCCTTCCTCTGCTAACCTATGGACAGCCTCCATCCGTGTTAGCCTCCATCCGAATGCCTCAGTTCGCTTAGGACTTCCAGACAAGGAACTTGGGGACAATTATGATGTGACCCTGCCTGGACCCTATTGGTAGATTGGATGAGGAATCATCAAGTTCTCTGGGGGTGGGGAGAAAAGGAATTCCAGCCATCCCTCAAAGTTCTCCTTCCACGCAACAGACAGCAGCCTTTCTCAAGGCTGGAACTCTCCCTCCCTGTCCAAGTCCAGTCCCCTTTCAAACGGCAGGCCCTCTCCAGAGCAGTCCAACCCTCGTGGAAATCTGGAAACAAACGGTACACACCCAACCAAGCTGGAGCCTCCCACCAACTGTCTGTGCAAATAGAATTAATGGTCCATTTCTCTCAGGAAGGGCAAATCTCCACCCTTGCCTCGGAGTCTTCTCAAGCAAGGTAGGAAACTCTCTCCCAGTTGATAGGAGTACAAAGCCCTCCCATAAAGCTTTGCCTTTCTGGGACTCCTGGCATAAGAATGGGATGGTACGGGGTGGGATCAAAGTAAGGAGTTTCTCCCAGAAGAAACATCCTGGGGAAAAACTGCTGGGACTGATAATACAGCACCCCCAACATGTGTGGGGGAGGAAAGGGTTCCAAGTCCACCCTCTGGAGCCTCCCTTTAATATGCCCAAAGGTAAGACTCCTTGCCTGGAGACCAGAGTTCAGTCCTCACACCAAAACCTCACCTCCCTCGGCAAAGAACAAATTCGACAGGAGCCTTAGGCAGTATGCCCTTGAAGTGGAAAAAGGGTAGTCAGACTATGCCCCCAGTGGGCAGGACTTCCAGGCCAATTTCCTGTCCTCCCTTAAATGATTGGCCAGGCCTAGGGCCCTGCCCTCTGTTGCTGTGAAACCGTGGGCCTCAGAATACACAGAGAAAATTCTAGAAACAGCTGGGCGTCAGGGACCAGGAACTGGGCACTTGTGGAAATTAGGACTGGGCAGTCTGGAAGCCATGGCCAGGCAGGACTACTATTCTGTCTATCTGAAGGGAAAGGGCCCCTTTATCCTTTCGATTCCTCACCTGATAACCCAGGAAACTCAAGACACTATCCTCTACTATACTAGCTAACCTATGCCTTATTCATTCAGACTTCCAACATGGAGATCACAGTTCGCCACACTCCAGTATGTTTACTGTGGGAGGGCATGGCTGCAGGGTTCGCAGTGTGTAGAGTGGAGAAAGCTCATTCTAGTTTGAATCCAGGCTTTTTGCTTTGCAGTTTCTCTCTCCAGGCCTAAATTCACTGGATTTTAAGCAACCTGTCCCATTGTGAAAAGCCAGCAGGGGGCAAGTGAGGAATCAATAAACTGTTAAACCCCAGGGCTTCCCGGAGTTTGCAAATAGATAGGGTGGGGCAGAGTCCAGTGTTCTGTCTGAGTTAGTAGAAATGCCTCTAGCCTTCCCCAGATTATTTATATTTAATCCGGTCAAGGCATAACTCCCATACCTTTTGTTGACTGATGAGTTCTACAGGCCAAGGCCCTCATTTCACTGAAGATTTCCAAATATGAAAATAAAAAAACCTGTACTCAGGGGATTGTTCTGCCTAGACCTCCTCTGGACAATAGGCCCTGGGCCCTCTCACAGGTCAAACCCAGAAAAGGGCAGATGTCAGCTGATTGCTAGTCAGTGAAAAGTCTCATAAGACTCCTCAATTGTAAAATTTAACAACCGTCAAAACCTGTACCTGCTTTCTCTGTTAAAGTAGGC